CGTGATTTCTCCAGTAGACAGTGTAGTTGCTCATAATGTTAACAATCTTCAAGAGGGAAAAGCCACGGTAGTCTTTGCTTTTATCTGCTAATTGAAGGTTAACAAACATTTCTAAGAGCAACTATGATGAAAAACATCAATTACTATGATTTACCAGTATGCACGTCAAACATTTAGTTGTTTTCCTTAACTGACAGTAAAGTTTCCATGCACTAGAATCATGTGTTAATCTGCCTAGCAGACTTGCAATGTGTACACAGGCTATAACAGGCATAAGGACTATAGAGCATTAAGAAGCAGAGATAAAAACATGTACTAATGTACCATGTACATCAGTGAAGGTGTGGAATGTATTAATAAAAGGAAAAATCATTGCAATATTTAATGGTTGTGAGGACTGACCGTTTTGAAAGCTGTTCATAAATTGTATCCACTGACGCATAGTAGAGTCTCCCATAAAGTAGAGTGTCTTTCCCTTCAGACAGCTGTTGATGGACTCCAAAGTGAAGAAGCTTCCAGTTTCACAGCACAAGGAAGACCACTGGTTTCTCCAGTAATAACCACTCGGGATGTTGGGACTGATTCTCTGAGCACAATCCCTACCTGTGCTGCTGGGGGTAACTATAGACAGAGAGAGAGAGAGAATACAGATAACACTGCATATAATTTCAGGATGTCAATTTAAATTTTCAACTCTTGAAACTAAGACTTTGTTAGAATGTACAAACCAACTAGCGACACCATTTCTTAAAGGGGAAGTTCACCCTAAAACTAGGCAACTCACAGCAGAACAAGTTAGATGAATACATAGCACTAAATCCCTGCTAAAACATATTTTTTTTTCAGTTTTGAGGTGAACTGTCCTTTAATCTCTGAGGCTAGCAGATTTCAGCCAAATATAAGTATTCATACTATCAAATTACCCTTTGAGGAAAACAATTTTCTTTAAGAAAAAAAATATTTTAATAATTCTATAAAATTTCCTTTATATGTTCAGTAATCACTACATCAACGTCACGATCGCATGCGGGGAAGCAGGAGCAGGGAGACGGAGAGTCGGGAACAAGGGGTTTACGAGGTACAACACAGTAAAAACTTCAATAGACTTCAATGACAGAACTGGGGAAACATACTCGAAGACGGACTGAAATACACAAGACTTAATGTAAATAACAAGAGACAGCTGATAACAATCGGGATTTCACACGAGGTTAATGAGGGGGTGTGGCAGGAGGACTGGACGAACAGGGCGTGACAAAATGCACCCAAAAGAAAAAACAAACGATTAATGTAGAAAACAGCATAGACAGAAAACTACAGTTAACTGAAACTGGGATTTACCAGAACAGTTTCTGACATCCACGTCACCAAATTTGTTCTTTATCTTCACCCCAATGTGGTTCCTTAAAAAAAAAAAGTACAATAGCCATGAACTGAAGGCTGAAGTATGGTCAGCCTTGGAACAAATTAGTCTGGAAGCAACAAGAACGCTTGGCTGACGTCAACACAGAGTCTGTTTTACCGGGTCAGTAGAGAAGCTTCCTCCTTGGTGAGTGGAGATCCTGGAGTGTTGAATGAAGACATGGTGTCAATCGAGTGACATGGCAGGGTTGGGGGTATGTAACAGGCGTAGGATTCTCCGTCCCTCTCGTCTTTGTACTCGCACAAGGATTTACTCGTGTTCAGCTGGAAGCCGCACTCAGACGTCTCAGTTTTGCTCCCATTGACAAAGGTTCCTTTGTGTGTGATCTTGTTGTAGTTGAGCTGCCTGGACCTCCACAGGGCCTGCACCGCCTCAGAGGAGTGCATGAGGAGCACAGAGACTTGCACCTCCCCAGGCCAGAGCAGGGTGAAGCGGACACGGTAGGAGCCGTTGCGGAGGTCAGTGACGGCTCCTGCGGCAGAGGCCTGTAGTTTGGGGGAGTGAATCCGGGCCAATATGAAGTCTCCTCCATGAGTCTTGGGCCTCCCACTGTGGTCCCGCATGTCCACACGCACGTCTAAGGTGTCTCCCATACAGTACTGGGCTTGGGGATGCTCTAGACTGGCTGTGCTCTGAGCAGGACTGGAGGTGTTCTGGACAGACTCCCAGACAGATGTTGGAGGGAGATCCCCCTGGAGGGAGAGCATCACATCATCTACAGTCATCTCCGGATGTGGAACACTTGCGATGCTTGGCAGTCGGTGGATGCTGCTTCTTAAGTGTCTCTACATTTGGAAAAATAATAGAAAATCAATTGTCTCTCCGTTTCATGTTCCAGCCTTTCATTACCAATTTATGTATCACAGTACAAGATAAGTGTATACAGTGCTGTAAAGGTGGGTGTGTGGGGGGGAGGTTTAGGACAGGGGTCTCCAACTCCGGTCCTGGAGAGCTACTGTCCAGTAGGTTTTCTATCCTACCCAGCTTCTGATGAGCCACACCTGTTCTCAGGTAAATATCAGGAACAGTTGTGGCTCATCAGAAGCCAAGTGGGACAGAAAACCTACTGGATAGTAGCTCTCCAGGACCGGAGTTGGAGACCCCTGGTTTAGGATGATTCTAAGGACGGGGGCCCTAAAATATTTGGAAATAACTGGATTGGTCTGGACTGGGGGGCTGAATATGATCTGCTCTCATGGGGCCCAAAATCTTTAGCAACGTCCCTGAGTGTATAGACAGTATATGAATATTGTACTCGTCAGTTATTCTTTTATTAATAATAAACAGTTTATTCGCAGTTTGACAAGGGTAATAAGCAATGGCAATGCTCTTCTTTCCAAAGGTGTGACAGAAAAATGAGTTTCACTGCACTATATATTGCAGATTGAGCTCAGCTGGAAAGCTAAGCATCAGACAAGCTTTTTTTCCATGTCATTGAACACATGACCATTGCAGAAAGCCCACTGTGCTGCACCTGTAATTTGCGGACTTAACACATAACGGCATCATACTAATGTCTCTCTAGATCTGAATGCAAAATTTTAGATTAATTATGCTGTGACAGCAAGTGTCCAGTCAGATGGGCTAGTTATTCTGCTACTAGTACACTTTGCACTGCCCCACTAGTATGTGTTAATCGTGTAATTTAACCACGTAATTGGTTAATAAATAATTTAATAAACCAATGACCTAATCCAACGATTTCGATCAGCCAGAATTTCAAGAAGCAACAGCAAACCAGACGGGGACCCCAGGAACCGATAATTTTGCCTTTGAGGAAACTGCACTGCAGGACACAGAACCATTCATGCACTCCCATCATGCATGCAACACTGACCCAGCCAGGTCAAAGCCGCCAGTCCTGAACATCGGTGCAGCCAGGTGGGGGTGCCAATGGAAGTGGCCCAAGGATAATGTGGTTTTTGACCACAGCACAGTGACCACAGTTGAGACGCTCATTGAGGAGGAGTTCTGCTCCTTCAGTGTGCCAGAAAAGCTACAGAGTGTCCAGGGATGGAACTTCAAGGCATAGATGTTTGGCAAGGTCAGTAAGTGGCTGAGCATTGTGAAGACCAGCACCATGCCTTTCACCCCCAAAATGATGGGCTGGTAGAGTTGAGTAGTCTCACACTCACTGTGCAGCTCACTATTCCTGGTCACCCAGTATGACTGGGACCACACCTGCCCCAGATATTGTGGGCATACCAGGCAGCAATGCCAAAGAGCATCCAGTGCATGCTGGCTGGTCTTATGTTTGGGATGGAGCAGTGCACGCTAACACTCTTGGTTTTTGGGTCACCAGAGTTTGAGGTACTGAAGGAGCCAGGTATGGAATACCTGTGCTGCCTCTGGGACCGTCTGACCGGGGTACATGAGCTGACCTGATAGCACCAAGGCACAGTGACTGCCCAAGTGAAGCGTACCTACAGTACAATGCACAAAGGCATGGGCAGGACTTTGGTGTTGGGGATTCATCTACAAGAAGGGCTGGTCACCTAAGCTTGGACAGTCACTGGAGGGGCCTGGGGGAGATCCTGAACCACCTCTCCAACATCGTCTATCACCTGCAGCTGCCTAAGCAATGGAAGGCTGTGGTCCTGCACAGGGCACCATACTAACTCCAGCCCCAATCTTGTGTCCTTGCAACAGCTGAGGATGAGGACACTCCTGTGAACAGTGACAACACTGGTCTCCGCTGCAGGACAGATCATTTTCAAACAATTTTTTTGGGTCAGCATCTACAAATGCTTAAATTTGAAGACAGATTGCCCCAAAATTGAAAGACTGCCACTTACTGAAACCAAACCACCATCTTTTATACTTGATCCCATAACTCAAAAACTGTTTAATGAATCTTTTTCAAACTTTGCAGACACATTATAGGCAGGTGTAACCCAGGTGAAAATAGCTATTAATAAATAGGTAGCTGAATAATTAATAATAAAAAAGAAACATTTTTGAGCAGATTTAATTATTTTAGGTTTCATAATGTTAATTGTAAAATCAGTGATAAAATCAGATAAATTGATGATTTACAAGATTTAAAATGATTATTTTAGTTTTATTAGTAAACCATTCTGTTACTCTTTCCATTTAAAATGAGCACCCTTTTACTTTAAGTGGTTATAGTTGTGTCAGCCAATCAGTGTAGATGTAGCTCGTCCAGTTGAAAAAACAGATGACAGAGTTTTGTGGAAAAAAAGCGAGCCCAATAAAAGAGGAAAATTCGAGTGTCGAGACAAAAGATGACGAGCCACCCTCACTGAAGAAAACCACGCTGGACTGTCGCTGTATCGACAGGATTCTCCCGCATCTCAGAGGGCGCAAACTTTTCCTCTGCAAAACTGAGGTTGGACTGAATAAGTTTTGATAATTTTGATGCAAGTGGACTCCTTTATCGCGTTAAGAGTGGACTCACTTAAACTGCAACTTTTTCCCTCTTTGGATTATGTGGATTTTGTATGGAGTGCCTACCGCGGTGATTAGCCACAATAACTGTGCACTCGTTGAGGAAAGGATGATTAGCATTTTGATACTGTAATTCCATTCACTATGCTTGTCCATAGCAAATATTTGAATCACTGAACTGTGAATGTTATATTCAATTTTGTTACCATTCCCACCAAACTGGTAATGGGATTGATATGAGCCTTCAAATGCCAAATGGAAAGTAATACTGGATCCTTGATTCTAAAATTAGGCCTATTACGTTAAAACAGTGTAAATAGAATTAAAATAATTTACTGTTATTAGTAGAGATGTAATGATACCAAAAACTCACGGTACGATAATATTGCGATAAAAGGTCCCATGATACGATACTTATCACGATATTTAATAAGAAAACACTCTTTTAATAATTAATAATCAACATGTTTATTTATATCAAATTAGTTCTTCCTTTTAAAATAAAGTGCTTCTACTTTTCTTCATTAGTGAAATATCCAGTTATGACCTTAAGCCTTTGCCAGAATTTGCAGTAATTGTCCTTTGCAATTAATGACTGAACAATGCATGTAATTATAAAACAAAAACAAGCAGTCAGTAGTTCCTTTATAAAATATAAATTATTACTGAAGCAGCTGGATCTTTTAATCAAAACACAATATGCAATTCCGAAGTAGTATTTTCTGCTATTTTTCACCGCGTGAAATATAGGCCACGCCCATACATACTAACACACTAAATAATGCGTGAAAACAGTGCACGTGTATTATACTGTTCAATTCAGGCATAACAATGTCCAAAGGTTAATATACAGTTCAATTCAGTCCATCATATCCTAACTGCACACGTTGTGAGAAATTCAAAGTTCCCTCTACTCATCCTTCACAGTTGCTTCCATGGGTCTAGCTTGCCATCCTGCTATGAACTCTGTTCGGTGGGTCCCCGTTCGGCGAAGCACATGCAGGAATATCCGTTCCAAATCTTCGGAAGTGTCAATGTAGCGCAGGGAAAAACCAATTTATCATGGTTTAAAACATTTCTTCCATCTTCCTTTTCCTTTGGTTAATTTTAAAAAATCTTCTTACACCACATAAGCTGTAAAATCAAGTTTAGCAAGTTTTCTTTTTAACGTATTCTAAATCCTATGGCAGCACTCGCTGCAGCCAGCCTCAACCGCTTCTGCAAAAAAAAAACACCAACCCGCACTCTAGTGGACATTTTGTTTTTGCATCTATCTTTTCACTGATGTAAGGAAACATATGTATTCCTCTCGTACACTAAAGAGAACATGCTGTGAAATTAGAAATAAAAATAAATTTGAAAAAACCTAAATTGTAAGATGTCTTATTTCCTCCAAAGACAAAAAAACTAAAATTGAAGGACACTTTTTCCTTGGGTCTCAGAAGGATATAGATAAAGCTACGGAATAAACTGCAATAAACAGCAGTATCCGAGCTGACAATATTATGGCGAACGCCATATGAGCTATGAACTGCCTATATTACACAGCGTCACGAAAGGTTTCGACTGCTACATAAAACATAAACGCGGCTAAAAGCTTAGTGAATAACAGCATTTCTGAAGTTAGTAAGTGTGGGACTGTATTAGGACGAACTCGCGGACGATATTTCGTCGCATAGAATAAATAAGAGTTGTTCACTGTCCTCCTGTTACTGTAATATTCTGAGATGTTGTAATTGTTCAACTTCACCTAGCAGACATACATATGAGGCGATTGAGGTATTGATTGATTCTGATCGTGTATGGACTAATCATCCCGAGATTCAAATACATCGTCCATGATTCACCCATAATATTATTGTGCCACGGGCTAACTGTACAAACATATTTTTCACTGGACACTTATATAACTTGTTTCTCGCGAATAATTTGTTTCTCACAGAAAGAGCTATGACGCCTATCTTGTCTTTTTCTTCCCAGATAGCACCATNTGTGCCCAGGTAATTGGCCCATGTGGGGCCCAGCAATAACCCATACCGAACCCATTTGGGTTTTCTGGGCTGGCCCACATGGGGCCCATTTGATTCTTGGGTGCAGATTTTGATGGGGCCCATATGGGCCAACCCACATGGGCCCCATATTTTGGCCCACATTAAGCCCATATGGGGCCCATGTGGGAATGCTACCTGGGATGTTATTGTTTAAACGTTGAATTATAGTTAAATGCGTTGAATTATGGTCAGTGGTAAATTATCAGTGTTGAAACTCAATTGATTTTTAGTCT